GATTTTGCTTAAAATATTGAATTAAAAAAATAAATAATAAAATCATATTCAATGAAATCTCGTTTAATTTTTTACGAAATAATACAAAATCCATTTAAATTAAAATTTGAATCAAAATATTTCTTTAAAATAATTATAGAAACATAAATATTAGTTTGATTATCTTTTAAAGCAAAAATTATTTTTTTAAAGATTTTTTTTTATAATATTCATATTTTCTTTAAGTTTATTATGATACATACTTCTTCTGGTTTGACACGGGGAAGAGAAGATATTTATTTGTACAGTTATGAAAACTTTTGTATATCACAAAATTTAAACTCTGGTAATACATGTATACACAGGATGTTTAATGTCACCTGGTTGCTTTTGGTTTGCACGTCTACCTGACAATATATTGTTATGTAACATTACATCCAAAGTCAGAGTTCACCTGTTCGTCAAGTGATGGGATTTTGAAGGTATGGAATATTTATCTATAATAATTGTTGGGATTTTTTTCTCTCTTGGGACGTAAATATTTTTTTGTTCTAAAAGGAATGTATAAATATATTTCTTTACAAAGATAAATTATACAGAAAACAGGAAAAAAACCTTTTAAAAAAAGAAGAGAAAAAATTTTATTATAAATTTTATTGTTAACTATTTTCTGGTAACAGTATATCCTGGATATCTGTCAAAATAAAATGTTCCCGTGTCACACTTAAAATGATATTTTTTTAATCAATAAATTTTGAAATCAATCATATCGAAATATCACCAAAAAAAATAACAGAAACATCAGAGATTCTACATGAAAATTAAAATTAAATCAAGGAAAGTCTTACTATACAAATCCTCAATTTGATGCAACATTTCCATATACATCATCCGCCATTTTGAAAAATCCCGAAATATTCACTTTTTCAAATGGATTTTTGACCGAAATTGCCCAGAAATTAAACTGTTTTAAATAGTATTTTTCGCAAGATATATGTTTGAATATACTTAATCGAGTTGCAAAGTTTTATTTTTATTAACGGAATTTCTTTATTTGTTATACAAGTAGACATGGGTATCGGTACATTTAGCATTGAGTCAACGGCGAAATAACGAGAAAAAGTACATGTTTTTACGATTCTCCAGTGACAGAATTTAATCAAAAATTAAACTGTTCGGACCAACATTGTTTGATAGAAATATGTTTGAATATCAGGGCTAGTATACGTCACAAAAGTCACGTGATGTCTGACTTAGTTGGATATGGTGCGTATTGCTATGTGTTTCTTTATTCTACATTGGCTAGAGGTATGGGGGAGGGTTGAGATCTCATAAAACATGTTTAACCCCGCCGCATTTTTGCGCCTGTCCCAAGTCAGGATCCTTTGGCCTTTGTTAGTCTTGTATGTTTTTTTAATTTTAGTTCATTTATACGTTTCGGAGTTTAGTGTGACGTTCATTTTCACTGAACTAGTACACAATTTTGTTTAGGGGCCAGCTGAGGACCACCTCCGGGTGCGGGATTTTTTCGCTGCGTTGAAGACCCATTGGTGGCCTTCGGCTGTTGTCTGCTCTTTGGTTGGGTTGTTGACATATTCCCCATTTCCATTCTAAATTTTATGTACTTCTTTACATGGTAAAATGACAAAATAAATTGACCAAAAGCTGGCAATTATTAAATTGCAGTGGAAGCTTTACATGTCTTGAAAACATTTTTCAATTTCACAGTTCAACTAAAGCTATAATAAATTTGAAACATATAGATAGTATGCAGTGGCGGATCCAGGTGGGGGGGGGGAGGAGGGGCCGGGGGTTGGAAAACCCCCATTTTTGGACGACCAATGCTTTTGAATGGGGACATATGGTTGGACCCTCACTTTTTTCCTGGGTTGGAACCCTCTTTTAAAAATGGCTAGATCCGCCCCTGGTATGTCCCCATAGATAGTCTGAGGATAGTCATTAGAAAGCAACTACCAATAGATCAAAGATACTAGGGTTTATGTTTTTTTTTTTATTTCAAAGTAAAAACTTAAAGATGTATAGGAACATGTATATACATATATATATATACAAGTCTAAATTGAAAACAACGTTCAAACCTATGATTGCGTTGGATAAAAACCGCAATTTTTATACGTGTGCATGCAAAACAAATTTCTTGTAAGAGGGGTCTAAATACAGCACAAACAACATTTTCCAAAAGACCAAAAAAGTGAAAAAGTATATTTTAACAAAACGCATTTGACTAACAGGTCGAACAACAAATGTTCTTAAACCCTGATGACTGCTAATGGCGATTGCCAAATAAACGGATCACCGATGTTATAAATGGATCTAAATTATAAATTTAACACTAAACAGAAAACAATAAACTTGCGGAAAAGATGGTATACCGCAAACAAAAGGTGCAAAGGTTTTTGTACACCATATCCGGATTTCGACAATTAATGTCTCTTCAGTGATGTTAGGAATCGAAACGGTATTTGGAAAGCCATACAATTTACCTGAATTAGGATAGACTCTTGAATTTTGAGGAGTCAAAATAGGATGAACGGATCATATAAACCCGAAGGCAAATATAATACAAGCCCAAACGAAAAAATATAAACAAGTCTAAATTGAAAACAACGTTCAAACCTATGATTGCGTTGGATAAAAACCGCAATTTTTATACGTGTGCATGCAAAACAAATTTCTTGTTAGAGGGGTCTAAATACAGCACAAACAACATTTTCCAAAAGACCAAAAAAGTGAAAAAGTATATTTTAACAAAACGCATTTGACTAACAGGTCGAACAACAAATGTTCTTAAACCCTGATGACTGCCAATGGCGATTGCCAAATAAACAGATCAACGATGTTATAAATGGATCTTAATTATAAATTTAACACTAAACAGAAAACAATAAACTTGCGGAAAAGATGGTATACCGCAAACAAAAGGTGCAAAGGTTTTTGTATACCATATCCGGATTTCGACAATTAATGTCTCTTCAGTGATGTTAGGAATCGAAACGGTATTTGGAAAGCCATACAATTTACCTCAATTTAGGATAGACTCTTGAATTTTGAGGAGTCAATATATATATAGGTGGCACATTCCCTTCAGACATTATTACGGTTTTGCAATTCATGGCATCGTCCTGAATTGCATGACATATTTGTCACTGGACATTAAGCAACCAATAATCAATCAATCAATCAATTCATGACGAAATAGATCAAGTTGCCTTAATTTCCCTTCACAAGGTTTTGATAGTACACACTTTTTTTTGTGTACAAAGTTATTGTATGGATGATAAATTATCACAATTTTAAGATGGCGTTGTACTCTAATCAAGGTATAAAGAACCATATTTATTACTCTTTATTTAAAAATGAAAGAAATTTGCAATCGTCAAAAACTTTTTTTAGATCCAAAGATTTTAATAGCAGGATATTTAAAAAATCAACGTGAAAACTATATTACAAACTATTTAATTTAATTTGAAACACAGCATTTTATTTCAAAATAGCCAGTGGCAATTTTTGTTTTAATATCTTGATTACGAAACAATGAAATCTTACCCTTGTGGTCATTCATCCGTAGTTTCCTAGTACACGGAAAAAGTATGTACTATGAAAATTAGAAGGCAAATTCTAGCAATTTGATCGGACGAGAAGTTGTAAGTATGTGCTAATGTAACGGATTATTTCTTCCTCTGTGATATTTTATCCTGGGGATAATTTGTCACAGAAATTTTTTTTCCAGACATGGTATTTCACAGATAGATTTTATCCAGAGGAGTGAAATTCTATCTGTCTTTTGTGGACAGTATTTAACAGTATATATTTTCCGTTCCATATTTTACAGAACCTTGTGAAATAGAGTCCCACTGTCTACTATGTAAGGTACTCGCAATCAATATATACCTGACCATAATTATAAATGTTTCACCAAGGTAGAACATATTTGCATAATTTATCAATCAAAGGGAGGATATTATGAGCCATTTATATTTTACAGATATTATATTCCAGAGACCAGAATCTATTTCATAGTGAAATTTTTCCTTTATTCTTAATTTTTTATATCAATTTATATAAAAAGATGACTTAAAACATGATTTAAAAAAAATATATTTCTATTTATTTTTTTATTTGTACTGAGATCTGAAAACAACTCACTTTTACCTGTATTTCACTTACCTTATTTTATATATTAAATTGATCATGATATTATTTTACAATTAAGATCTGTGAAATTACTTCTGGTTTTGTTTCATATGTTTCGTGATATTTGTCTTTTAAAAGAATGATATTTACTTTAATATTTCAGGATATTATTTTCAATTATAATCTGCGAAATTATTTCCCATTATAATACATTTATTTGGTTTTTTATTTACTAATTTAGCTTATATTCAAATACACTATTATTAGTACATAGTATTTGCAAAGATTAAGTTTTTTTTATTAACTATTCAATATTTTAACTTCCCAGATAGAATTTCACGGCAATGGATTATATATCACAGTGAAATATTTTCCTCCGAATAAAAAAATAACAACAACTTCTGTAATATTTTTTCCCCCAGATGATATTTCATCCGGATAGAATTTTGCTTTACACTGATGAGATACTCTAAAAGCTAATCTGCTTCGAATGATATCTTTGTTTTCTCATGAAGTCGCTGCATATTTACAATTTCATATGAGAAAATATCACTACTCAACACAATAAGCGTTTTTCTTTCCATAGACCCATAAACTGACGAATACGTGTTGAAATATACGTCACAAACTATATTGATTAAATTTAAATGACCTATATATAATTTCTTAAAAGTCTAAAACATTACTACTGTGTTGTAAGTTTCCGTTTTATACGCGTTGGGACTTTTTTTTTTGAGATTGGCAACTCATTGTCAAGCTAGAATATCAAACGTTTGATACGAATGATCAGTTATTAGACAATATGTTTCCACCCAATTAATTTTTGTACCTTTAGTTACCTCCATATTTTGATTTGTAAGCGCAGTTGGTCATCTATTACGACTAAGAGACTGTACTTTTTAACACGATAATAAACCAGGAAGAACTGGTTGATACAAACAAATCGGTTTCTTCAACTTCTACAATGGATCGGAATTATATCTTATTTTGGATAAATTGACCACGGTAATACCACACAAACTGACAAGGTATGTATAATTAAATGTATCAATGGACTTCATAAGGTTCATGTTTCTTTAATTGCCAGAATAGCCGGCTTTGTTATGACATTTGTAGCAAGAAGGGGACCAGGACATGTTGGCACAGTTACATAGTTGATCAGGTTGGGGACAACCCACCAAATGAGTAACTATTCCCCAAAATGAGTAACAATCCCACATTTGAGTTATCATTTGATAGTGCTAAAAACTACATTTTTTTAACCGAGTCTTTTTACTTAAAATGGCACACATTCACAAAAAATGCAGCAAATTTTTCAAAAGATGAATAGCCCTTACCTAATTTACTGAGAAGTTACAAGCCTATGAAAACTTGGATAAAATAACAATTTTCAAGGCTACTTTTTAAAAACCCAAAATAAAAATACAGTTACTAGGAAGAAGTTGTTCCATTTTCTATAAATTTGTGCCTTTTTAAGTAAAAAGACCCAGTTAATAATTTTTTTGCGTTATCAGATGATTACTCAAATGAGGGATTGTTACTCATTTGGGAAATAGTTCCCCATTATGCCGGTTGTCCTCAAGCTGTTGATCTAGCCGTTTACCACTGAAAAAGCAACATTCAAAAGCGTATAGTGCACCAAAGGATCTGGGCATATTTTATATGTTGCGTCGATGTTATTGATGTCGGATTGCAGATCTCTTTTAGTATTTACAAGGCCAGTCAGTAGATTTTTTTAAATAATGCTGCATGTACTTTGATATTGATAAATATTTCCTCTTCATTAGAAGAATAAAGGATTTTGTAAAATTGCAGTGTCATTTCTCCTATACACTGGCAGTGGTGTTTTGCAATTTTTTGGTGGTATTTCTTAAATACGTTAAATACTTTTGCATATCTAACATATATATGGCACACCTAACCAGATATAGTTTTCTAAATGCACATATGCTATATCAATTGGAAAGGCATATTAAGATTTGATTATCAACACCTTGAACTGCTGAATTGCATTTCGAAGGTGTTTATATGTTAAATTGGTCAGTTTGTCTTGGTATATTATAGAATTACTTTGAGTGGTTTGAAACTGAACAAAGATAATTATAAGACAAGCAAAACTATCTTGTGTAGTTGTTATTATATAAACACTATACATAAAATTTGAAAAATTGTGGAAATGGGCACCAGCCTAGTAGTCAGCACTTCTGTGTTGACATGAATTATCACTGATATGGTCATAATTGTAAATTAACTCTTTACAAAACTTAGAATTTTTCGAAATACTAAAGATTTTCTATACCAGGAATAGATTACCTTAGCCGTAAATGGCAACATCGTTAGGAATATTGAAGTCCTCAATGTAGTTCAAATTGGTACTTTATTTGGCCTTTTTAACTTTTTTGATTATATATTTTATTCTGAAAAAAACCTTTGTTGATACAATGGTATACAGAAACACAGAGACACATATAATTAATAGTATAAGACATATGATACATTTGATGAGGTAGCAGCAGGTCAAGTATTCTTAGAGAAGAAAAGAATTCATATGTTTTAATGCTTACTTTTTATCAGAGAGAATCCATTTTTTTATGTGATTCTAATGAACTTACACAATATTTAGAGTTTTGATTGTTTTGAAAAATTCATAACTGTTTTAAATTTTAGGATGTTAATGTGTGGTAAGGTATTTTCGATCTATGCATTCTTTCCTTTCTTCTGAAAAATATGTGATTAGAGCTTCATTGATGAGTCTTTTTGTAGACGAAACAAAAGTCTGCACGGCGTACACATCTTTAATCCTGGTATCTTTGTTGTTTTTTTTTGGTGCAGTAACATTGGTATCGTTAATATTATTATAACAACTGGGGTTATACCTTTGCTGGCGGACTTTTGGTCCCAGGGGATTATTACCAGCCCAGTAGCCGGTACTTCGGTTCTGACATGAAAATATGAATATTAATATAATTTGTTGTAAAGAACTTTTGGATACCCTTTGAATGCAAGGAATATATATCCCTCATGCACTCTGCACTCTGGACAATGACATTTTTTATTTCATTGAAATACATTTGTATTGTAATTTACTTTTAGGAACAAAACAAATGCATTATTCAACCAATGGAGACATCAGAACATGGTGGATCAATCTATTAGTAACACACAGTAACGCATCCTAAATAATGATGACTTCGATCCCTGAATCAGTGTCGAATTATATCAAAATAGCACTTTTAGTTCTCAGAATATCCCAAAGAGCTGTTCGTGTGAAATTTGACTTCGAACTTCACCCTAAATGCTTGCAAAAAACCCTTAACAAACATGGTGTAAAGCTAAAAGACCTGCTACAAAAGAACAGGATAAGCCAAGATCAATGGGGACTATTGTTTCCTCCAAAGGAAAAAGGTAAGAAAAATAAATCCTACTTTCCATGTCTTGTTTTATGTTTCGATATTGAAACATTTAACCACAAAAATTAAAACAAATGTACTAAATGTACAATAAAATAATAAGTTATTTCTTGTAATGTTTTCTAAATTTACCGATAGTTGACAAGGAGCCTGAAATTGTTAAGCAAAAAGAGTAAAATATGATTAGGCTAATTTTCGGTACCAGGAATACGTAAATGAAAAAAAGGATAGTTAATCTTTCATAGACTATCCTGCAAATGTTTACAAGATATTCGTCTGTCAGATATCAGCTTCTTAATTATGCTGAATCGGCCTTACATATATGTTTAAGAACTTTAAACTGCATGTTTTGTTATGCAAAACTTAAAACAATGACAAATAATCTTATTTTGAGATCTTGTAATTAGTATTTAGATATAAGAAACGGATTACCACAATTAGCAATGGGCCAAATAATGGCTTTATCTTTTATGTTTTTAAATTCATTTAAGTATCATTGTTAGAAAGATCATTGGAAAATCTCGTTTTGAAAATTGAGACCAGAAATCTACTGTACAAAAAAGTCAGAAGATAACAAAATACATATATTGTTTGCTGTGCATTTATCTACAATACAACCTCGGAATTGTTTTATGTCGTTTTTTAAAACAAAATAAACATTGGACACTGGTCATTAAAAGATGAAATTTGTGTAGTGTAAAAGAAACGACAAAGTAAAAATTGTATCATTTTTGTCCGATCCATTTGTCACGTTGACAATGAAATATGTATTCACTTACAAAAAGTGCGCTCAAGCATGATACCATTTATAGTTTGTACTCAAATGAATGCATAACGTTCAATCTCTATATGTACTCAAATGTGAATACGCCTTAAATTCAATAGTATGCGTAGATAGAATGCCGATCAAACACGATTGACTTTGAAATTGTGAAGGACATTGTAATTTAAATATACTTGTTATCTCCAGGTGAAGCTTCTTCCAAAAATTTTGACATAACTTTGATGATGTGTTTGATCAGAAACCTAACGGAAATACAGATTGGCAACACACTTCCACAGTTGTCCCTAACAAGTCTTAGCGACGATTTAACAAGGATAAATTTCTACAGAAATAGAATTGCGCATGTTCAAGATGCAACAATAAATGATACAGATTTCAGTAAATATTGGGATGATATAACACAGGTAACAATATTATGTCACATGACGCATACAACAATTTCCACAGATCATGTCCAGATTCCTACTAGGTCTTATCTGATTGGATTGTTTATGAGTAACACTTACCTGCGGATAGTAAATATTTACTTACACACATGTTTAAAACCTGATTGGACAAACATGAAAATCGTCTGTGTACTTTAAAGGGACATTATCAAACAAATTCGTGTCCTCCGAATTGACTTAAACTCTCAGGTAGGAATTATAACACCCGAAAACGTATATCAGAATTACAAAATTCCATATGAAACACTCAACAAGTAATCGTTGTAAAGCATCAGTATTTCGTGAATTTACGCCATCAAATTAACCATTGACATAACATCCGAAAATTGACGATTGCATGGGACCCCGAAATATAATTAACAGATAAATATCAATAAATAAAGACAATAGTAGTATACCGCTGTTCAATAGTCATAAATCGATTTAAATGAAACAAATCGGGGTCACAAACTAAAACTGAAGGAAACACATCAACTATAAGAGGAAACAAAACGGAACAACAGAAACACTGAACTGCTACAAAAACAAACGCCAACATACTAAAATACGGACTATGTGATAACAATTGCCATATTCCTGACTTGGTACAGGACATTTTAAGAAAAAATGATGGGTTAAACCTGGTTTTATGGCTAGCCAAACCTCCCACTTATATAGCAATGTTAAAAATACCGCTAAAATGACAACATTACGTGACAGGAATAAAATACAAATAAATGCAAGAATATTCAGGACAGAGAAATACATAAATAATATAATATATTAGTCCATTTCAACATGTAAACCACAAAATAACAACGAACACCTAAAATTAATTTACGACAGAACACAAATACAGCACGATAGAATAATGAACTGTGCGTCACACGAATGTTTCAACGCCACAAAAAGTGACGTCTCAGGTAAATTTCTGAAAATACAATATGAAATTGGGATTAATTTTGTAATGGCGTTATTTGATTTATTTTCTAACCATTACAAGAATATTTATATAGAATTGTTTTAGTAATGGTGTAATTATTTGTATTTTATAACTATGGTTTTTCTTCTAAATCAAACTGTGAAAAAAACAACTGAATCCTGTGCATATAGTTGCGTTTAATCTAAATATCTTATAAATGAACTAGGTGATTAATATCTTTACTTTTACATACATAAAAAAAAAAGAAAAATAGAATTAAAACCACAAACGATAAGACATAAAACAACATTCAACCAGAATTACAAATACATTTACAATAGTACAATGGCGACTGTCCTTATTCTGTATTATTCTGTTTCATTCTATATTATTAATAAAAACACATTAAATAAGCATGTATATATCACATCACCGGTTTACTTGAAACTTGAATGATTTGTCCAAAAATCATAACGAAATTGATTCGCTTGTTTCCCATGTCAACTGACATTCTTTTCAATTATAAAACATGTTGAGCACATACGCAAGCAATCATCGTTTATGGAAAAAAATTCGCATGAATACAGATGCAAATGAGCTTGATTTATTGTCTTGCAATAATGTATCACATTTTTTAAAGTTTATTTTGACAAAAATAAATTTTACTAACTGCTGAAAGCGAATTGTTTTCTTTCAATATTTCTTTTCTCGAATTGTCTGAAAAATAACTTTAGCGATTTTCAACTTATACTGTCAAACTCGTAGCTACTGTCCCTTTAATGAGACAGGTTCGCTTGGCGAGTGATTAAATGTATTGTAGCAGACGCTTATCCTATCTTGCTCCTTTTAAAGTTTAAGCAAATTCTCTCTGTTTTTGTGTTTTGCCTTGGTTTGATTTTCTGATCGATTTATGGGAAGATTTTGACATCGGTTTACTACTGTTGTCTTTATTTAATTTGTTATACTTGATATACTGCATGTTTACATGTTCCATTCATCTAGTTAACAAATTCTTTCTCATTCCTTCTTCATTTGAAAAATAAAGACTTAAATAGAAATACTTTAAAACCAATCCGTTAATAACAATGATTACCCGCTCGAGACTGTTTATCGAGAGTAAATATATCTATTGTAGTCAACGGGGTTACATGTTAAAAACATTTAATGGACAATTTTTATCCCAATGGACCGCATGGATATGGCCAAAATTACGGGAGACATATTTAACGAAATTGGGGTTTATAAAAAAATATAAAGCTATACAGTTGAAAAAAACATACAATTTAAGAACTTTTCAGAGAAATTTTCATTTCTAAGGTATGGTCATTCCTTAACAATTAACAAAGTCGAGGTAGTGACCATATAACTTTGCGGACTGATTTCTAGCAGCAATCTTAGCTTGAGATTTGGTACTAGTGATGTTTCTTGCTCATACCAGATTTATAATGATTATCACATGGTTTTCATTCCTTGTTTAAACTTGACTACACTTTTTCTACAGGTTATAATATTAGTTTGGTTAAAAAACTGTACATCCCTTTTACATGATATACTATTCTGTCTATCACAATAGGCAATAATTCGAATGGGAGGGGAAGTATTTAGAGAAGAGTGCGTAAAATTGGAAGACAAAGAATTCAACACAGATGAGAGCGATGACAGTCTTAGACACATACAAACGGAACTAAAACTTGCAGCTGTTGAAAACAAACTTGTGGAAGTAACAGATAGATTGAGTTACCTGGAGGGTGAACTGAACGATCCCATTACAAAGAACAAAAGAGGTAGCAATAATTTTGACATAAAAAAAGTCTGAATTCAATCATTTAGTCACATACTTTAGGAAACTCATATGAATGTATCAAGTTATTACAAAAAAAACGTTTAAACATTATCAATGACATTCCAAGCCATCAGATCTTAATGCAAATAACTATTTACCGTCTTTGTTTCCAAAAGATAAACTTATTCTAAAAGGTTATCTATTCAACACTGTAATTAAATCTTTGAATATTGTTCTTATTGGTATAAATATTGTTTTTGTTATCAGTAAATTAAGACCATACTAAATATTGCGCATATGCACTTTCACGGTACTACAATCTGTCGATACCTATAGTTTGGCATTGCACAAGGTCATGTTTTTCTCTGACTGTTGATGACGTCTTTATACTAAATTCATTGACTGTTGGATGTGCACTGATTGATTTTTAAGCCTTAGATACTTGATTTTTTTTATCAGTTTTTATTGGCTTTGAACTAGCTGTCAGTAACTGCGAGTACTCTCAGATCTGTTCTTAGAGTCTTTTTGTTGTGACGATGTACCCGTCCACGTTCACTCTGTGTTTTTGTTAGATGTATTTCTATTTGTGTCCATCTGATGAGTTAAGCCTTTTTTAACTGATTTTTATAGATTGTTTTGATGTTGTACTGTTACAACACTGTCCCGGGTTAGGGGAGGGTTGAGCGCTCACAAACATGTTTAACCCGCCACATTCTTTATGTGTTTGTCCCAAGTCAGAAACCTGTAGTTCAGTGGTTATCGTTGGTTCATGTCTGTCATATTTGTTTTTCGTAAATTGTTTTGTTTTAAATTAGGCCGTTGTTTTCTCAATTGAATTGTTTCATATTTTTCATGTCGAGTCATTTTTCATGTCGAGTCATTTTTTCGAGTCATGTTGAAGGCCTACGGTTGCCTATAGTTGCTTACATCCACTTCATTTGAACTTTGGTGGATAGTTGTCTCATTAGCAATCATACCACATATCCCTATTTTTATATTAAACTCTGGATTGCAAATATATAACAACTATTCTGTCTTCTACGTTTCGTCCCCCAGGGCATCACCAGCCCAGTAATCAGCACTTCGGTGTTGACATGGATATCAATTATATGGTCATTTTTATGAATTTCCTGTTTACAAAATTTTGAATTTTTCGAAAAACTAAAGATTTTCTTATCCCAGGCATAGATTACCTTAGCTGTATTTGGCACAATTTTTTGGAATTTTGGGTCCTCAATGCTCTTCAACTTTGTACTTGTTTGGCTTTATAACTATTTTGATCTGAGCATCACTGATGAGTCTTATGTAGACGAAACGCACGTCTGGCGTATTAAATTATAATCCTGGTACCTTTGATAACTATTTACACCACTGGGTCGATGCTACTGCTGGTGGACGTTTCGTCCCCGAGGGTATCACCAGCCCAGTAGTCAGCACTTCGGTGTTAACATGACCATCAATTATTTGGTCATTTTTATAAATTTCCTGTTCACAAAATTTTGAATTTTTCGAAAAATTAAAGATTTTCTTATCCCAGGCATAAATTACCTTAGCTGTATTTGGCACAACTTTTTGGAATTTTGGGTCCTCAATGCTCTTCAACTTTGTACTTGTTTGGCTTTATTACTATTTTGATCTGAGCGTCACTGATGAGCCTTATGCAGACGAAACGCGCGTCTGGCGTATTAAATTATAATCCTGGTACCTTTGATAACTAATTATAGAGAACAATTGGAATCCAATAATTATATATTATTAGGACAAGCCATCCCAATAACCGTACTTACTTTCTTTACAATGAAGAAAAAAACACGACAAAAATGATGCATCAATTTATAGCTGCGTTATTTTTGTAGGAATTATGAATATCAAAATACCTTTATTTGATTGTTAGAATTAAATTGTTACCATTCACAATTTTTTTTATTATAAGCATCTTCAATAAAGTTTGCCCCATTTTTACTTTAGAATTTCTTTTTTATACCATTGTGATCAATTATTTAAAGCTCACCCAGATTTTCAGATTTTTGTATTCATTTTTTGTGTGCCGTCATTGTTTATCTTTACCAAATTCCTTTTGGTATAAACAATCGGTCTAAATAATACTAGAATCTTGCTCATCAATTCTTAAAATATCTTATTTGTTGTTATTGCAGATTAACCAACTTTACAACTGTAAAAAAAATCAAACATTTATTTAAATTCAAAATTAAGGTTTTGATCATGTCGGTGCAAAACATTAGCAAAATTAAGCACTTAAAGCGTCTTTGAGGAATCATAGCTGATATTGCAGAACCATAGGGACATTGTTAGTCAGCGCAATATTGTTGCATATTAAGGCATAGAATGAAAAACAAAAAACAAAACAAAAAACGTATCATAGTTAATACTCATTCTCTGTAACCACTTAAACTTTTTCGGCACACATAGTCACCGATCTTTCTGAAAATTGGCTGATATGTAGATCCTATTAGACTAGTCAGAAAAATAATGTCAACCGATATATATATTGGTTGGTTACCATGGTAACAGCAGAGAAAGTTGGGATTTTTGAGAAAAATACAATATTTGGTGTAGTGTTGTGAAATTATGCGGCTACATCTATTAAAAAGAAACACAAAAACAATTAATTTCATTCTTGTTTTAGTCAAAATTCAAAAAAAGTTATGGGGAATCTACCTAGAAACATGCGAAATTAATTTCTAAAAAATGATTATTGTGCAATTTTCCACACAATACGAATTATCTCCCTTTGATGGGTTACACTAATGACTGGACCAAAACGAAAACGCTAATAACTCTTTTATTTCTCAAAGGATTTATGTCAAATTTGAATTGTTATAAATTTAGACCATTCAATACATAAATATAAGAAAAAAAAATATAGAAAACTTTTTTAAATCTTCATTAAACGTGACCTGACCAACACTGACAATGCCAGGACCAAATGAAAATGCTAATAACTTTTTTTATTTCTTAAAGGGTTTATGTTAAATTTGAAATATAATAAAGTTTAATCATTTAATATATAAATTAATAAAAAAATATAGAAAAAAAATAAAATATTCAGATAACGTGACCTTTCTAACGTTGACAATAACCTGACCAACAATAGCAATGACCTGACCGATGAAAATTTCTGTTATTTTATATTATTAAAAAAAAACAGGAAAAATATATGTTTTTGGTAAAAAAAAACTTGACCTGACCAACGTTGACTGTGTCCTGGTTGTTGTACTACCTAATACTTATTTATATCTTATTGAATTTTCGTTAAATTTAAAAAAAAAATAGAATTAAGATTGAATGGTAAAAAACTGGGAAAAACAGTTTAGGGTACTATGACGAGCACCGAATTATTTAAATTTTTATGGTATTGAGTAGTATATTGTATTTAACTGTGTTGTAAATTATGTTGTATATTACCGGTTTTAATTTGATACGTTTGATCACAAATATAAAGTAACTCAAAAGGTGTGATTGAAGTAGGCCATACATACATGTAAGTTAATAAATCCAATAGAGTTTGTTTTATAATATTTTCTAACAGTAAATAGTTATTTCCACGTACTACTTAAGGCATGCGCGAGCCTTGTGCAGGATATCTTGGCAGTTTTTAATATTTTCATAAAAACAAATACACATTTCGCAGACTACTTGAGGTATGCCCGAGCCCCTGCATGCACAATATCTTTGTAGTTTAAATATTTTCATAAAATATAAGTAAACATATTCGCGGACTTAACTTGAGGGTTACCAGAGCCTTGTCTTAGTTTTAAATGTTCCCGAAAGTTTGTAAAGCATTTTATATTTTCTTATTTGATAAAATTAATGGTTCAATCTAAGTGTTTCTATAAATTTGATGCAAAGCCTATTACATTTAAATAGGTATAAAGTCATTTTTCCTGGTCATGACAATGGTCAGAATGTAGGACAGAAAGTCACAGACAAAAAGTCACAGACAAAAAGTCGCGGACAAAAAGTCATATGTACAATATGTTATAAACATAGACTTCTGCTTCAAAGTAAAATCTAAATTTTTGTTGTTTAAAGAAAGACAATTATATACTACTTTTGAGAAACATCTTTCTGTAATGGGCTTTCAGTGGAAATCAAAGTATATGTACATGCATATAATTTTTTTAAAGTTACCCTGTGTAAAGAGTTATCATATTGCCAATATTTTTTAATTTGCTGCTTAAAATCCATTAAGATTACTGTTATTTTCTCAAATTTTATTAATCCAATGCCTTTTACTAATGTAAATATAGTGCTACCAAAGGCGGATCCAGGGGGCCATGAGGGCCCGCCCCTTCCTTTCATTGGAAACATTTGGTTGATTACATATGTAATCACTAAAGCATGAATGTAGCGGGCATCTCTTAAGGCAGTCAGTGGTACCCCTGGTATGACAATTGTCTATATGGTATATTTTCCCCCTGCTGCTCGTTGTAAGACCAGCAGTCACCCGCTGACCGATTTTCCGTGGGTCCTCTTAGGGAAACGGAACTTTTTGGAAAATCTCGAAAATTTCTCCCCGGCCAGAATGTCAAACAAGAAATGTGTCGGATGAATAGCAGGGACCATCGGGTAGACGGCCGACCGTACCCGCCCTTGCTTGTTACGCCCTTTTTTTTAGGGGCTCCCTAGTTGATCTATTGAAATGTCTGTCCTTGTCCAATTGATCCCAATTTCTAGTGATATTTCAAATTGTCTGCCTTCATCCCAGCTTACACCTATTGAAGGACCTTTTTTATTTTTTTTTATTTTTTATAACTTTTATAAAAATGATCTTCATGAAGATACTCATCATCCAATTAAACAATATTATTCAAAACGTATAGCTACATGTATACATGCTTTGCCATTTCAACATTGAGTTTAAGAATGAATAAGAAAAATAAACAGCTCATATCAAAGGTATTTTTTCCTTTATAGAAAGGTTTGATGGTCAATTATCATTTATTTAGAGGATCAATGTCTGACTCTTTTGGTTCTATTTTTTATTGAGTTGAATTGTTTCAAATTATTGACTTTTATTAATTTTTGGTCAGTAGACTAGCACAGGACCTACAATGTTCCTATTAAATTTATTGGTTTTGTTCTCTTCTGAAATATGCATGAGATGTTTGACACTGGACATAAAGCAAACTACAACTAATCGATCATTTCTTTTTTACAAAATTGTATACACTCTTTGCTATATGTATCGAAGTTCATTAAACGAATTTGTAAAAATTAGCACTTATCAGTATTTTTGCAAATGGACTGTTTGTTTCCATGGCAACACATTCAAAGGCAAATATTGCATAATTGAATATATGATTTTTTAAATGATTTTATTTGTTTTTTCTAGATTTAGTCATTGTTTTTCTTGTACATTTTTCATGATCATGAAAACAGACTGAAATTTCTTCATAATCAGCACTTTTATCCAGATTAGAGAAATTGTATTTGTTTCATTCAAGTGGTAACACCATTATCGATATACTATACCAGCAAAATTATTTATATATACACATGTGTGTATACAGTGAAACTTAATAAGTGTTTTCGTTTACCTACTTTTGTGCACATTTAAGAAACTAACTGAAACTTTTTCAAAATTGTTTTAAACTTGTGTATCATCATGAAATTGTTTCCATAGCAACACAGTTAAAACTATAATACCGTTATGTATAAATATGTTTCAAATTTTGATGATTACAATCATTTCTACAAATTGTATATTTATTTATTTTTTTCTGACTGCAGAATTAGGTTTTAAAACATTTTTTTCAAAAATTTTCAAATTTTTTTTTTTTCTGAAAAAATGAAAACTAAGCATTTTGTATCCATGGTAACAAAAAAATGAGACATACTTCCCCATTACTTTTTCGCATCATTGATAAGATAAGACTATGGTATTTATGAATTGATGGTTGACTTTAACTCAGGTGTCCGCAAACAATTATGGTGAGCATTCAAAAATGACCTCAAAAGGGTATTTTTTACCTAATGCAAACCACATAAAAAGGGGGGTATATGTGATTATGATTGAAAATGAATATGAAAATATCAGTTATTAAATTACATTAATAAAATGCATATATTTGATAAAATCATAAAAAAATATTCTTTCTTTTAATCATTTATTATGAAAAATTATGTTGAAAATAGCCATTTTCAGCTTAAAATCATAGATATCCAGAAGAGGTAAAACTGGTCATCGGTTGCTATGGCAACCGATATGCTTAGCAACCAAAATTTTGCCATTTTTTGTTTGTTTCATCAAGACTAGTAAGTGTGAGAAGTTTGAAGAAAATCCATGACCATGCGTGCCACACTCCCTATATAAAAGTTTAAATAGTTACAGAGAACCAGTATTAATATCTTTTGAAATCCCCGTACATATTACAGATCTAATAACAGTACAGATCGAGGAATGGAAAAGTAAAGATACAAAATTATTTGTCAAAACAGAAAGAAGTGAATATGTGTTTCAACGAGTGGAGGTAAGCAGTTGTGTTGTTTTGACAGGAGGTCCCGGGGTTGGAAAAACATCAATCGCCCGACATATAGCTCTCATGCTCGAGAGAAACGGCTACAGAATAATTCCAGTAGTGGCACCAGAAGACATAAGAACGTTCTATCAACATGGTAAAAGGTCAGTTTTTATAGTAGATGATCTGTGTGGTACATACACTGCCAAACAGGGAGATGTTGATAATTGGCAACAACTGTCACCGGTGATAAAGACAATTCTTTCAGACAAATCTTGTAAAATTATTGCTGCATGTAGATTGCAAGTCTTTTTAGATGAAAAATTTAAACTTCTGTCTCCTTTTAAGAACTGTGAGTGTAATGTAACGAAAACAAAATTACGAAAAAGAGAAAAAAAGCAGATGATAAATAGATATAATATTAGTACACAGGTGTTAAGTATGGAATCACAAAAATGTGAATTTTTTCCTTTGTTGTGTTCATTATATCGTGAATCTGAAAGCGTGGATGCAGTTAATTTTTTCAAACACCCTTTTGAAATTTTTCAAACTGAATTAGATAGTTTAAGTGCATCCAAAATTGAAGGGAAATATAGGCTATGTGGGCTTGCCTTATGTGTACTTTTCAATAACAAAATTGAAGACAAGTGGTTTCAAAGTAAACGTGCAGATTACGAAGAAACAATGTTACAAGATGTATATGGAGCTTGTAGATTAGACAGAGGTACATCTAAGGAGTTGATAGGAGAAGAATTACGAACCCTCGAGGGAACATATGTATGCAAACAAAATGAAACGTACACCGTATTACATGACATGTTGTTTGACTGTATAGTCTATTTCTTCGGTCAGAAAATGCTTCAATGTTTAATTGAGCATGGCGATAGCTATTTAATACGCGAACGCTTTATATGGCAAAAGTCAGCCGAAAACATTGATTGTGGTATAAAATTCATTACAGAGATACCATATCACTTATTAAATGTATATTTGGACAGACTTATCAAAGACTGGTTTGAAGGTAGAGTAAGTATTGTGTTTTATAACATTAATTTGAAAGATAAACTCTTCAGAGAAAAATTCTTACAGTATTTAGAACGACTTGATAAGACCGACCAGGAAAAATTGGCCAACACAATGGATACAATGTTTCCAAAAGGGGATAGTTGTTCCGGTAACTATCCAATTATAGACGTTTGCTTTCAAGGCTATGATGATATACTTCAGTGGCTTCTAAAAAATGAAGTCAATGTTAATCAAAGTAGAGATGATGGTGTTACTGCACTCATTATGGCATCATATTATGGTTACTCAGACATTGTGACCATGTTATTAAAGCACGATCCAGATGTTAATCTTTTTAATGAAAAAAACGTAACTGCATTATACATGGCATGTCAGAATAACCACAATTTTGTCGTAGAGAAACTACTAAAAACTGACATTGACGTCGATATATGTGATGGCCATGGAATATCTCCACTATTCATTGCATGTCGTAAAGGTTGTACAGCTATTGTAAAATTATTATTACAGAAAAGCCCAAACGTTGATCAAATTAGCAAAAGTGGATACAATCCCCTGCACATTGCATGCCTTTTTCGTCACACTGATGTTGTTACCCTATTATTGATGGCAAAGAATGTAAATATTGATGCTAATGCACGTGATGCAAATGGCTATACGCCTCTTGTCATTGCTTGTTTTCAAAATTTCCCGGAAATCTCATCTCTGTTAATAAGCGCTAAAGCAGACGTTAATATCCAAGCTTTTAATGGTGCTAGTGCATTGTGTTTTGCAATAGGACATGGTCATCTTCATACAACTAGGTTACTGCTTGAAAATAACGCCTCTTTGCAAACAGGTTTTAAAAATAGGCAACAAATAATGGATGCACTGCCAAAAAATCCACAAAGAACATTAAATGATGTACAGGAGGAAATTCAAACTTTTTTTGTCAAGAACGCTTCACCAAAAGTAAAGGAGTATGTCAGTAATATGTCAGGAGACTACTGCTTAGATGCTATGATAGATTCGTCGCCATTACATATCGCGTGTTTAATGGGTCACAGAAACATTGCAGAGTGTCTTTTGAATTTACATGCCTATGTCGACTTCACTAAAGAAGATGGAACAACTCCGTTATTTTTTGCCTGTGAATTAGGACATTCAGATATTGTGCGTTTATTGTTAGATAAGGGGGCAGATGTCAACATCCGACGACTGGATGGGAAATCGTCATCGAACATTGCAGAATATAATGGGCATCAGTCTATAGTGGCGATGTTGAGAGAACACGGGGCAGATTGTCATGTTTTTTGCCAAAAAGATTAACACCGCATTCAAGTCATGAACGTCATGGATGATTGTCTTTTTTATACCTTAATTTTTTTTTTAAAATCTTTTACGAACTAAATTGTTGAGAGCACAACTGCGATAGATTTTGTTTATTCATCAATATGTCCCTATTCAACGTTTAGACACATAACCCGAAGATTGTTATTATGTGTAGATATGGGAATTGTCAATAATGGGTAGTAAAACATATTGTGTATTATAATTATGATACATGATTCTGGTAAAGTTGATAACATATTAGAAAAAAACCGTTGTAATTCTGGTCATTCTCTGGATGGTTGTTTTCAGACAAACGTTGGTGTTTTATCTTTTTCTTGGTAACCATACATGACTGCGTATTGTGACAAGCAGATGACAGTTTTACTGTAAGACGAGTGTGATCTGGTTGATCATATTTCATTATTCTTATCATCCTTTGGCCAGTTATATTAAAATAGAATTTAATTATTCACGCGTGTGTTGATGTGTGTGTGTGTGTTTGTGTGTGTTAATTTGATTTTAACTAAAATGGAACTAGTAAAAAGGTAAATGTTATATGGAACTTTTAAGAATATCAAAATCTAAATATTATTCAATGAATTAGAAATTGACATGTCAATGTATTGATGCTGTAAAACCTATAATAAATCAAATTACCATTTCTTGGTTATTTTATGTTGAACAGATTATATTTGTATATCTCAATGTCCTCTAGTTTGATTTTATCGATAATACTGATCATGCATTATATCCAAATTTTGAATAAATTATTTAATTAGTACACAAACATTTTGTATTACGTTCTAACATTCCAATATGAACTTTAGTTGTCTAGTCACTATTTTATCGTTGATTCACTCCATGTAACTTTTATGAAGAAGAAATTTATGACACGCTTACCCTGTCGATACATACTGTTTTGCAATGTTTGGATTTCGTGCGCAGGTTCATTTTTAATCTTGATTTGACAAGGTCATGTTTTTCTTTGACTGTTTATGACGTCTTTACACTAAATCCATAGGATGTTGGATGTGTACTAATTGATAATTTAGTCTTAGATGCGCGTACTCTCAGATCTGTACTTGGTGTCTTTATGTTGTTGGGATGTACAAGTACCCGTCCACGTCTTCTTTGTGTTTTTGTTAGTTGCATTTCTATTTGTATCCATCGGATGTTTTAAGCCTTTTTCAACTGATTTTTATAATTTGTTCTTATGTTGTACTGTTACACCACTTTTCCTGGTTAGTGGAGGGTTGGCGCCTGAAAACTAGTTTAATCCCGCCAAATTCTATATGTGCCTTTCCCAAGTCAAGAGCCTGTAATTGAGTGGTTATGTCTAATCATGCTTAAATGTATTATGCTGATAGGTATCAGGTTAGCGCTATGTGTTATTAAGATCTAAGTATATGTATACGAAAACTGTTAATTTGGAATATCATTAGTTTAAATCTAAGTACTTTTGTCAATATTTTGTATTGTAATCTTAATCTATGACACTGGTATATTTTATAACATATTAAAGATTAATCTATCATAATAACTTTTGCTATCATCTTAATGTCATTTTCATACACACGTTGGTGTTTTAGACTTTTCTTGCTATCCTGACATGTCTGCGTATTTATACAAATGTACATACCCTTATCCTTATTTGGCACAATGTTGCGAACATTTCGGTTTTAAATGCATTTTAACTTTGTATTTGATTTGATATTCCAACAATGTTAAATCGAAAGTCACTGATGGGTCTTATATAGAGGAAACGCGCGTGTGCACAATCCTATGCCTGGTATCTTTGATGAGTTTTCAAATCCAAGACGACGTCAGTTTTATTCTTCAAATTGATATTTGATTTGACCTTAAAACTGTCAAGCGCAACTGATGAATGATATGTAAACTGAAAAACGCGTCGATCTGACGAACCGAATAATAAGCCTGGTATTTTGATGATTTTTTATTTATAAATATTGCAAATTGTTTCGTTCTTTTATCTGTGAATATTCATTTGATAAAAAACATCAAATTAAAAAATGTTCATGATTATAAATTGGCTATAAAAGTTCTTTGATGCTGTAAAAAAGGGTAGTTCAATTGCACATCAGGATTATGAAAAGCGGTGAGGGTGAAATTCATGTATCAAAATGTCCCCTTGTTTGTTCGAAATGAATAAACTGATCGTAACATAAATACAAATATAGTTAGTACAAAAGTATTTCAGATATCGCCCCATCATATTATGAGTTCGAGTTTTCTATATAAAAATAAGGAGATGTTGTATGATTGCCAATAAGACAAATATTCATTAGAGGACAAATTGTACTTTTTAATGTATATACATCAATTTCTCAAATTGTTCGTTTATAAATTTAGAAACTATCAAGACAATAAGGTTTCAATTCGTTTAGGAAAAGTTGACCTTAGATTAATTTTTACTTTTAGTTCCTTTTTAGTCATATATATCTTCAACTGTTTCGATTCTTATACATCATTTGCTTTCACATATCCGACTTTGATCTTTCCTGATTGAAGGAAAATCCAGGAAAGCGCTTCGGGGGCATGAAATTAATAAAGTGTTATTTTCATTGTTTTGTGTATGGTTTGAATTTTAAAGGTAATGAATATCTGTCAATATAGTCCATGAAATAATGTAGTAGTCTTTACTGTTCGCTTGTAATAGAATGTTCTATATTACTCTTCGAAATGTTTGCGTCTTATTAACTAACAAAAGACAAAAGAGAGGCGAAAGATACCAAAGGGACATTCAAACTCATAAGTCGAAAATAAACTGACAACGCCATGACTAAAAAGGAAAAAGACAAACAGACAAACAATTGTACACAAAAGACAACATAGAAAACTAAAGACTGAGCAACACGAACCCCACCAAAAACTTGGGGTGATCTCAGGTGCTTCGGAAGTTTAATCAGATCTTGCTCTTCATGTAGCACCCGTCGTGTTGCTCAAAACCGGTATTAAGTCTAATTCGGTAGGTCACGTTCGGGAAAAGGGGACGGGATTGTAGTTACGACATAAAAACATATCCGCCATCATCTGTGAAACGGATATTCCATAACGGTTAACCAACTCGTGATAGCGTCCGTAAAATTTACAAAGCGCAACAAAACACAACAAAGAAAAATAAAGACTGCACAACACGAACCCACCAAAAGCTGGAGGTGTGATCTCAAGTGGTCTATAAGAGCAGATAAAGCTTTACATGTAGCACCTGTAGTGTTTCTCATATAAGTATTAATTATTTAATACAATTTTTAAATGAAAATACTCATGAAAGATAGCAAGCTTATATTATATATATATTATTGATTTATACGGGAGGTGATATGATATATAAGATTTGATACAAATTTGACATTAGAATATTGAGATGTTCGGTGTGGGTATCAAATGGTTCTATAATTTCACCCTTTACAATTGGATACAACTAAAAATTTGGATGGATTCAATTGCAGATTAATTTTCAAGGCAATGGGCGAAACACGAAAATGAAGACGAACCTGTAGATACCCTTTTTAATAAGATTCAGGTGGAAAGGTCGTTGCTACACATTATAATTCAAAATCTCAATCTCTATGAATACACCTGCTACATCGATCTTTAAAGACCCAAAATATTGCTAAGCACCTGTCCTACCTCATTAACAAATATGATGTTATTTCCGCAGATAAAGCCCCAAAAAACATCGTGTTTGTGTGTAAATCGCATTACATCAACTCCATCGATTTTAAACATATTTTATTCACTAAGATGTGAAATAGATTGAGCAACAGGCAGATCTTACAAAAGCTCTCTCTACATAACATGGACAAGGCATAAATCAGATATTAACAACTGTATATAAAATACTAGTAGTAAAACTTCAGTGGAAAAATGTATGCTATTTAAGAGCACACACAAACAAATATATATTTACAATGTATTTTAATTTAATAATACTTTATTCAAAAAGAAAAAAAAAGCTTATAGGATACGTAAGTGTGTTGAAAATTAATCATCAGTTATTTACGTACCCCGAGACATGCAGGTACTTATGCATGTAACCCCGCAACATTTAATATGTGCCTGTCCCAAGTCAGGAGCTTGTAATTGAGTGGTTTTCGTTTTTGCTGTTTCTCATATTTGTTTTCCGTTCATAGTTTTGCATAGTTTGTTCTTTGATTGTGTCGTTACACCACTGACCCAGGTTAGGGGGAGGGGTTGGGGGTCATCAAAATAGCTTAAAACCGGTGCAAATGCATCTATCCTAAGTCAGGAGCCTGTTGTTCAGTGGTTGTGGTTTGTTGGCGTGGTTCATAGGTGTTTCTCGTATCTCGTTTTTTATAAAGATAAGACCGTTGGTTTTCCTGTTTGAATTGTTTTACACTAGTCATTTTGGGGCCATTTATAGCTTGCTGTTCGGTGTGAGCGAAGGATCTGTGTTGAAGGCCGTACTTTGACCTATAATGGTAACTTTTTTACGCTTTGACTTGTATAGAGAGTTGTCTCATCGGCACTCATACGACATCTTCTGATTTATAATGTATCAAGGTCATTAGAAATATATTTAAGCAATTAGGTTTGTGAAAGTCACTAAGTATACTTAGTGGAATAAATGAAATAGTGTTATAAACCCCCCAACATAAAAAATATTTTTCAAACAAAACGATGAATTTTACTGAAACATTTCTCAACCGACTTCAAAATACATATATCATTCGAAAATACTCTATTTCCAAAAAGTAATAAGTAAATATTTGTGTTAATATTGTTATCAATATTGAGTAAATAAAGTAAAATCTGTCTTACATCAGGGAAAATAAAAAAAAGAAATGTTGTTTATCCTCAACATATATTATCCTCTTAATATAATTATACAAGTGTTAAAGCAATTTTTTCAATAATCTTACTAACAGTACAAATTACAGAAATATAAATAGTTAAGAGATAAACGTGGACTACCTTTTTCTTTGATTTTAGGATTAACATGTAAAATTTTCGATCACAATGGAATTTGTTTAACTGAGAGCGACATATTATATATTATATATAATGATTTAGAAATAGAGCTAGGAACCTGTTTTAAAACGCTAGGACTGATACTATCAAGTCAACTGGTTTGATTATGTTCAAAATGTTTAACTGGACTTGAGAAAGTTGTTTAAATGGCATGGAAGAGGCTCGTCATTATCAGGAATGTCTGGTTTCGTATTAGTATTAACTATATTGGCAAAATGATTGTTCAACATCTCTGATGTGCCCAATGGATCAATAACAAATTGACCATCATTTTCTAAAAATGTGAGTGAATATCTGTTTTTTATGACAATTGGACACTGATTTGACAATGCGACATTCTTTACCAGGAGAAATATTTTTAGCAACAAGTTGTGATGTCAGCTTGCACTTAAAGTCATCCTTTGCCTTTCTAATTTGATTGATAACTTCATTTCGAAGTTATCGACTGCTTCATAAAGGAATAAGTCACTGATAATTCAGATTAAAATTAAGCATATACTTTTACAACCACGAGGAAATCTTGAAAAATGAGATGTCTGTTCTATGTTCCTTTTGAATTTCAACCAAAATACAAATAACTGTATCTTCTTTTACTTTATTGGATACATAAGTAACATAAGTGTCCTTTCAAGCAAGATAAAATTGCTGAGTCTTTCAAGTGTTCAACGAAACCTCTTTCTAAACTATTAACATCAATTTATCAGCATTCAGAGCAAGGCTTTATAGTAATTGCGCAAATACATACTCTAGAGGTGTTGTGAATGAGATGTGTTTACTTAAAATATTCCATAGATCTGTTAGTGTACATACGATCTTAGTCTCTATTCTCCAGGAATAGTATAAATCATTTTAGTTTTTCTATTCTTTTTACACAAGATTTCCACATTCTAATTGTGGACAAATGGAAAAAAGTGGTCCAACCTTATTTGATAAAAATAAATGACCAACGTTGATACAAAAGGTTGTGTGTTTGGGAGGGACAAATCCTACTTTAAAAAAAACAACTCTTTCTAAACTTTGAACAACAATTTTATCAGCAATCAGCACCGGGCTTCCGAGTTATTGATTCACAAGAGGTAAAGAAAAGATTGCACTATCTATTAACCTCACGTTTCGGTATAAAGATGATTTCCTGTCACTAAATAATTCAAAGACTGGTAACAATGTTGAACTCATCTATCTAATCGAACTTGAAATAAGGATACAACAGTGAAGTCTGCCTCATATGATGACTTACATCAGGAAATCGACAATGAAAGTCGATTGAGAACAAAAATTTACGAGGAAACAGATGATTTCAGCTTGCAAATAGTTAAATTTTCGTTTTAATGTAGCAACATTTCGGCAGAGTCTGCATATAGATTATATATCTATAGTCTTATAGTTGATGTGTTTCCCTCGGTTTTAGTTTTTAACCCTGATATGATTTCTCTTAATCGATTTATGACTTCTGAACAGCGGTATACTACTGTTGCTCTTATTTATACGATATTCCAGAGCTTGCATTTCTTATTGTGATTTCCTTTCTTTCTCGAATTTAACATTACCGAATTACGCTTTTCACCGAGTTTGTACTTACATGACTAACATTTGAAGCAGGATCTACTTAATCTTTAAGTGCACCTGAGATCCCATCAGTTTTTGTTTGGGGCTTGTGTTGCTCAGTATTTAGTTTTTTATGTTGTGTTATGTATACCGTTGTTTGTCTTTTGGTGGTCTTTTGGTTTTTTGTCGTTGTCAATTTGTTTTCGACGTATGATTTTTGCATATGTCTTTGACATTGGTCCCCTCTAATATTTTTAAATGAAAATGAAAATCAAATCGCGTTTTTAAAAAGATTAGTAGATCTTTAAATAATAAGGTTGCATTTAGGTAGACAAAAATGTCGCAGAGTCAACCATTTCAAAATTATTAAGTAATTGAAAGGAGAAACAACAATTTTACTTATCAAATGGATAAAATTTTACTTATCAAATCAATGACTTCAGTCTGTGCTTATTTCATGCTAAAAGCTAAGATACCGTGTTCCTTTCTTCTATCTACTCCAACATACAACTGTCGTCGAGTATGGTCACAAAATATACTTGTCGGGCTCTCAATACCGTCTGAAGCAGAAAGAATTGTTCTTATGTTTTTTCCATCGGACGAGATTACGTAAACTTCGTTTGAATCATTATCTGCAACAAAAATATTTCCGTATCTGTCAAATGATACGCCATGCGGAGATCGCAATTTTAATTGCCAGATTTGTTGACCACTCATGTTCGAGCAGAAAAGAATACCTTCACCTAATTTCCAACTTGAATACAAGAGACGTTCACTATGGACGGATAAAAAGTAAACACCTTCAACATCCATCAGTATTTCTCGCAAAACTTCGCCCTGATAATTTAAAACAGTGATACCTTTCGGATAAGTAATCACAAATACATTTCTGTCGCAAACGGATAAACCTAAACAACTGTTTCCTAAATCTCGTTTCTGAATATGTTTTGAAGATAACCGTATAATTTCAATATAGTTTCGGTCACCGTACGACACAACAATATCATCATCCATTCCAACCACATCAAAAGGTTTATGATTGGTAAGAAATTCAGAAGAAGTCGTATTTTCGGTGTTGAAAATAAGTAATTTTCTGTTGTTTTCGTCAGCGACTACTAGGTACTTTCCTGACATTGTTGTACAATTCAGCATATTACCTTTGGACTTCGTTGTTGGAATAATGAATTTGTTTGTAAGTTCTATTTCAAGTGTTTTTGCTTTCGACATCCCTGAAACTTGAATTTGAGCTTTTTTGAATATTGCGCTTCTCATTGATAATTTACTAATCGAGATTGAAGACTTTCGGACCATTTCTATTTGACCAAAATTTGGTCGTAAGGCCTTCATTGCTTCACGAAAGCTCTCATTTGGTATAAATTCAATGCTTGTATCCAGATACGTATCTATCAAATATTGTACTTTAGTGTCTAAGTCTCGTAGTAGTTCTTTTATATCTCTAATTGCAAAAAATGATTCCTCGTCAGTTGCAATGTACTTTTGCAGTTTCCATTGTTCCTTCAATTTTTCAAATGCTTCCCTTCTACAATCAATCTCTTTTAATGACATTATTAGTTTGGATTTGCATTCGGAAATATTTTCTGTTATACTACCTCTTGTGGCTTTATCAATGTTGTCCATGTATACATGAAATTCAAGTTCAATTTCCCTTTTATAATCTGTCACTAATTTGTTTTTTTCTTCACTTGTTTCGTCCAGATCTGCCAAGTTTGCCAATGTATATTGTCTTAAGGTCTTTAATGTGCTGTCTATTTCCTCAAAATCGTTATCCAATACATCAGAATGTGTTGGACGCAATTGTGATGCTATATCCACAATATTCACAAGAGATGGACACTTACTGTGATTAAGTTGAATGCATCGTACACATACAGGTGAATTATGTAAATTGCAGTAACTGATAAGATCCTGGTTATGAAGATTACAAACCTTGTCGTATTTTTGACCAGACTCATTTAGCCTTTTGTACTCTTCAATTCCGATGAGTCTATGCTTCTTGAAGGCTTTATGGGTTGAATGACTAACGCTGCATTGCTTGCAGTAAACTTCCACACAGGTAATACAACCAAACTCTGCTTGTGAATGTTTTTTATGGCAACTACAAGGCTGGCATGCTGCATATTCTCTATTTGCCTTTTTTGGATCTGTAAGAAAGAGAAAACACAACAAATTTAATCTTACGCTAAAACCTTTATTGAGTACAGATTTTGTTATTAGAAAGAATCAGATGGAATCAAAGTTGTTCAGATCCTATTGTCCTCTGAAATATAATGTGTTACAGTCAAATTCCTGACTTGAAGGAAAAAAGACTTCCAAGCTGCAGGATATGTATCACTTTGCTTAACACAAACAAAAGTGTAGAGATTCAATGTTGAATATCAATCGTATAAAAATGTAGTTTTTAAACGCAACTCAGGTAATAAATAAACTGAAGAATCATCTTTCTAGAGATAGAACCAGGAGTAATAAATAATAAACATTATATCAAGTTACAACTATTTTATATTATTCGTCTGATTATCACAATGCGCTAGAAAAAGAAGAGCCGGATACACCCTTTTGATTTCTAGACATCTTTGCTGACAGACTTATAATTTGGAGTCAATATAATGGAATTTGATGCGACTGTCATACAAGTGAGAGGTTTAGCGCTATAAAACCAGATTCAACCCACCATTTTCTACATAAGAAAATGCCTGTGCCAAGTCAGGAATATGACAGTTGTTGTCCATTCGTTTGATGTGTTTGTGCTTTTGATTTTGCCATTTGATTAGGGACTTTCCGTTTTGAATTTTCCTCGGAGTTCAGTATTTTTGTGATGGAACTTTTGAGAATGCATTACTTAAACATGTCCTTGTATATGTTATCTGACATGTTTCTTTATCTTCAATTTCTGCAAATGTTTAGTTTGTCCTGCAATAAGTTATACTTTTTAGTTTGATGATTTAAACTCGGAAACTGCTCCTGGAAAACAAATCGGGCAATATGAGGAACAATTCAATTTTGGTAAAATGTGATATAAACAGATCTCTATTAAGATATAACGTTTAGTCAAGGAATTTAATGACGAAATGTGATAAAAATTAAAATCCGTGAATTCTAAGAACTGCGCGTCATCTGTGCAAAGTCTAAGCGTTTCTTAGTTAAAACATAATCATCAAGTTTTATTTAGGGATAATAAATACAAAGTATAAAATCAACATCAGTTTGTAACTGTTATGCAATTCCGACTTCTAAAATAAAAAAAACTACTACATTTCAATTGCATAACAGCACATGCAGTGTAGCGAATTTCATCAGTTTCATATGAGATGTTCAATAACATGAATAAGTAGTTGTACGACGGACTACTGAAGGGACATTGGTATTTAAGACAAATCACAAGCGAGATGGACAATTGCTTTCAATCAAGTATTTGAATAGTTGATTCAATCAAATATTGTTGATATAATTCTTCCCACGAAATTTATATTTATTAGATCGAATCAATTGTAGTAGCATAGATTGAGTACGAGAAACCATACATCTTATCAATATTGAAGAAAAATGCATCGTAACCGAGAGAGGATCATTTATTCAAATATGATTTCCTGACTAACGGTATTTTTAAAAAATTGCTTTACAATTTATAATCATTCCATAAAACATTTTATGACATGGCCGATTCTGATTTGATCATGGGATAGATCCTCGAACGGACTTATGAATCCTTGGCAAACACGCATTGTGTATTAAAACAACAAAAAACTTCATGCATTCTATGTCCCTTTTCATTATTCCTCATTGCATTATGTTAAGTTAATACTTTCAAATATCTGAATTCATTGAAAATCTCTATTTTAATTGCTGAACAATGAGAGAAGAGGCATTCATTTCTTACTTTGAGCATCTTAATCCACCCTTGTAACTTGCAATTATGTCTACCTGTGATGTTAAGTCTACAATTGTCCCCTTCGTTTCCGTTTCTTGAACTGAATTAGGTATACTATATATAACAAAAGTATGTCTTGTAAATCAAAGAAAAAAAACCAACATTTGAAGAATGCAAGTCTTTCCCTCTTTGGTGGAGAATAACTAATTACAGTTTCAAAATATGGCAGATTGGAAGATTTTTGTTTTACATACAGTTGATGTGAACCCCTTTGTACAAGATTTTCCTAGAACTGTCTCTTATTGTATTGTTTTGTCCTGTAGGACAGAGTTTTGTAAGCCATAAACAATAATCGACCAATGGAATACCTGTTTATACATGGCAGTTATGAATTTACTTGTAATGATTGCTCTCCACGTTTTTAGGAGATGAACAAATGCCATACTTTATGTTATGAGAGTGTCATTGTACCTTGTTTATTTCGAAGCGATGTTTTTCTTTGAATTTCTTAAGCAAATGCTCTTTTTAAAGATCACCATAACGTTGAAACAACCAAGCAATCAAGACGATTGCAAATTTTGAGAGATGTCTGAAAAAGGAGTACCTCATGCAAATTTAAACATAAGCTCAATGTATTAAGCAAGAAGTTTATATATATTTACCTCAAATGAAGTTTTTATGCCATTTATTTCTTATCTATAGCTATATTATTTTTCTTGAAACCAATTCTATGATCTAAATGCGGCTAATAAACTTAGTTTGTATGTGTATCAAACTATTCCAAATTGAGGAATTTTTCATCTGGTCCATTTGATTTTGCCTGTATTGAAAACGTTACTTCTATAAATCCTTACTGAAATAAACAATCTTGCATGTAACAATGTTCCATTGATTGATTGATTGATTGATTGATTGAACAACTGTTAATATAAGATAAATACTAAACCCTTGCCGCTGTTTATCATGCATTATTCATTCCGCGGACTTTCCAAAGGGAATGATAGAAACTTTGTGTTTTATTTTCATTGTATCAAAAACTATATTCTTGAGATTATAATAACATGGGTTGTCTTCCATGAAAACTTGGAAATAGGTAGCTACATCAGGTCAAATCGTTATACTGAAAGAAACTGCTAATTGAATGACAAGACAGGTATTAACTTTGACCTCCTTAGATATAGCTACACATAGCTAAACCTAGTACCAATATCTATTCACCCTTTTTCAACCGGTCATCTTTAGTTTTGAGGTTTAAGGTCAAATATTGAATTAATTTTTGTTTTAGTAAAATAAAATATAAAGTACTATTTAATTTGAATTAAATGCTACAAAAATATTTCTGTGTAACATACTTTGAGTACACATATGTTTATCTTCATAGTCCATTTTCAAGAAGGTCATATCCCAACCTGCTTTCTTTTTTCAGATGTTTACAGTTTTTACTCTATTTTAAGTGAATTATGTTAAAGGCAGAAGCAGATTTTTGGTCATTTGAAAGTATTTCCGGCTGACAGAAATCGCAAGTACATGTTTTATAGCAAGCAACAGTATCAATAAAAGGACTCCAAATTAAACTGTGACGTAAACAGTTATTAGAAAGTAATCGTCCAGCCGCTCATATTTTACCTATCGAATATTGTACCAAAAATTCAATAACTTTCAAACGTTAAATTGAAAATTCCCGCCACTTTGTCATAGCAGACTTTTCCTGTAATATTATTAACCACAGTTTATGCCAAGCTCAGTAAAATTCTGTCTAAATTGTCTATTATGTCTGTTTGTGTCGTTCACACATTGTTGAAATGAATCATCTTTAATTGAATATACTTTAAACAGCAATACCTATACTTTCCTTCATTTAGATATATCAATTTCACACGGGAAACTATAAACAAAACATCTACGAAAAATGGACGATATTTCGTTACCTTATGTTTATTGCCCTTTCTTTTTACAGTGATGTTCATTTCACTGTGTCTATATATTACAACTCGTCCGAAAAACTTGTATCTGTAGTGACGGTATAGGTATCAATGAAAGAAATCTATGTATCACTGATAAGTTATGAAGTCAGTTACCTCAAGTTACTACATTTTCTTATAGATACAAAGATTAGTATGGAAGTTTAACTTAAAACAAACGGAAATATCACATCATAGTTTTTACGTTTATGTTGTTTTAGATCCCTTAAATTTATATCGTTGTACCCTTAATGAGCCTTAAAATTCTTATTGTAAACGTTTACCAATATGATCTTTGATTATTTTTGAAATATCTGTACTAACACACGTCAGAATGATGAACAAATTCACACCGTATGCCCTACTCAGAATGCTCAAAATATGCTCAAAAACCATTTTTTAAACTTTAAAATGCTAACAGGAAATCATAGTATCTAATAAAAAAAACATATTAAAATACTGAGATGTGGTATGATTGCCAATGAGACAACTATCCACTTAAGTTCAATTGAAGATGATTTAAGCAATTATACGCAAACGTACGGCTTTCAACAATGAGAAAACCCATACCGTATAGTCGGCTATAAAAGGCCCCGACATGAAAAAAAACATGAAACAATTCAATTGAGAAATCTAACGGCCTAATTTATAACAAAACAATTTACGAAAAACAAATATGACAGACAAGAATCAACGACAACCAGTAAACTATAGGCTCATGATTTGTGACAGGCACATAAGGAATGTGGCGGGGTTAAAAGTGTTTGTGTGCGCTTAACCCTCCTCTAACCTGGGACAGTGGTGTTTACCTATATAGCTAAAGGTGAATAACTAACGCTCAACCCCAATACTTTTGTTGGTACTGAAAATGTTCTATACTTTGTAGAAGATTTACCCTTTTTAGTAGAAAGCTTGTTTTATTTTGATTTTAACTACATTTGCCCATTGTTTTTAAACAGTTTAATTGTTGAAGGCTTGAACAAATACTGGTTATTTGTATTTTTGGCACGGCTTAAATAGGAATAAACAAACAGGAAGTTTTGATTTTAATGAGTGTGGCATAAAATGTCAAGTGCTGTATTTCTACTTACAAATGCATCTTTTCGCAATCTCCTGGTAACGTATACATTCGGATTTAACCTTTTATCAATAAAACAGATTTTGATAAAAGGGTAGAACTATTAATATGTCCAATGTGTTTGATTGGACGAAATATAACATTGTGGATGATTTAATGTGTTCCAAAGTCACACTATGCATAGTTATGCCATATATGACCCTACAATACATACTCTCCTGGGTATACATTACGTAATCGTCTTTTCAATAGATCTAAATAAACTGGTTTGGCCGGTCACACTTTTATGTACACAGTTTAGTTAATGTGGCCTAAATTTATAGTAAAAAGGCTTCTCATAATAAGATTACCTTCTATACTTTTGTCCATTCTATCCTTTTGTATAGCACAAATAATATTATCTTCCAGTTCATCTAAACGGTCAGTTATTTTCATCGACTCCGTTGTTACAGTTTCTCTAATCTCCTTTTATGATAAAAAAGAAAACAAATATTTCACAGTTTGATTGTATATATTTGCACAATACGCTAGCGGTTTTACAACTTTCAAGCGCTGCCAAACATCAAAGGTAGCTAAGGAAGTTCAAGAGTAAAATATATTCATGATTACTATGTATGATTAACCAGCCAAGCTAATTATCACTCACAATGTCAGAATTTGCAATAAAAATCTAAAAATAAAATTTATTGTGTGTTTGTTTTGTTTCTTTTTCTTGTGGTAGGATTGCCAATCAGACAACAATGTAACAGAGACAAATCACGTACCTTCACATAGCTGAACATGAAATGTGAAAACAAAAATGTAACAAGTTTACTTGCCCGAACTTCCTTCGTAATATGAATTTGTTTCCTGTTCTATTTTCCTAGACGAAATTGTTTTTGTTATATACAATATAACATTCGCTATGATTTTCTTATTTACAGTTAACAAAATGAAAGATCTTATATCAAAACGTTGTCAGAAAACAAAACAATAATGTATTGGCCAACAAAACAATGTTTAGAATTTATTACTTATAAATTGTTTTCCTACCTAGTCAGACCTTTTTAAACCAGTATGTTTTTTTCTATTTAAATAAGTGTTTATTTTATCTTTATTTGACATTATTTGACATTAAAATAACTGGATCAGATCTATTTATATTTGAATGCATCGGCAATCGCGTCATACAAACAACGGGGAATCGAACTCAAGACCTTAAGCATATAAAGCAACGGTTCATACCTCTACACCAGAACGACTGGATACAAAGTCCCTGTTAATTCAACATATTTAAACATTTTATCCGGAGCTCATAAAGGGTATATACTATATAGTATTATATAAAGTATATCATAATCATTGAATGGCATTCTGAACTAGATGTTATTTTTTCATATACTGATATAGTCTAGAAGAGCTGGGATTTAAAATAGTTATCCCACTCGGACTTAGTGTGTCAGTGTAAGATCACCCTCTGGCCTCAGATCATCGGGGTGATCTTACACTGACACACCACGTCCTCATGGGATAACTATTACACCACATGTAAGAGAATAAGAAAATTGATAAGTGATACCTGCTTAAAATGCAATTGGTGAATCAAATCTGCTTAAATGCGTTAAACCTATTTCTTGATAAGTATCTATTTTTAATATGTTACATGAATTCTTACCTTGTCTGCTTCTATTTGGTTAAGAATTATCTGCTTATATTCTCCGTATACACTCTTATTTAAAAGTAAACTTTCTACTTCAGTTATCTTCTGCTTTATTGCATCTTTGCTATTTGTATAAATAGACAACTGTTCAATAGCAGTTGTTACATTGGTCCACATGTCGTTGTAAATTGCATCAGTAAATTTTGCCTCATTGACATGTGCATAGCAATTATTTCTGCAATCGACTAGTTTAATTACAATTTTTTTCAGTGGACAAAAATAATCCTGTACAACAATAGCAATTTGATCTTCGATATCACTTTCTGCTAAAGTTGGGGACACTGAACAAGAACACAAAATACAGGATGTGCCCGGCTTACAGGAAGGAACCACTTTTTCTGAAAAAAGTATTTCAAACTGCATCTTTTTTAAAACACAGAAATCTGAAGGAGTCTTATAGTACTGGTTGCATTTACAACATGTAGTCCTTGATTGCCACAAATGGTAAAGGTCGTGCTTATGTTCATTCAAAAAGTCTTTAAGTGATTTTCCTTCCTGTGCTAAACTTGACTTCCAAAATAAATTTATGCAACACACGGAGAGAAGAACTCGCAGCATAGAAACGTCTAAATCTGCAGTACTCAGGCCTTTGATAGCTAAACAGTGTGTAAAATTTACAAAGTCCTTAAAAGGTGAGGTAGTTGCTAAAGTATTGAATAATTTGGATAACTGATGTTTGCTTAATACTCTTTTATCGGGAATCGGATGCTTACACAAATTGTTTTGACACTTCTTATTTACATATAAATGAAACAGCTTGTGTTTATTTAAATTTAACAGCATCTCAAGAGTACATCCAAACTCAGCTAGATGATAGTCAAGCAGAGTTCTGAGAGCTTCGGTTACTACATCCACATTTAAGAATGCAATTTTGCAGTAATTTTCCTGTTCTTTTGATAAAGCCATGGTCTATTATGATCGTGAGCTGAAAAGATACATTGAGGAGTTAATTAGGTACTGATACTTCATGTTTTAAGAAATGTTTCATGATATCTTTAACATTTCTAACATTCATTTATTTAATTTTGAACTTTCAGCATAGTTTCAAATAATTATACGTCATTGTTTTTTATCAATACGACAGTAATTGATTGATGTGTTAGCATCATTTTTCACAATTTATTATTAATCCGCAATTATTATATACATCATGTCATTTGATAGAGCAAACAAAACACATTGAGATGATGTTGACGTGTTTATTTAAGCAAAATCAAGTAAACTGCTATTATACTTATACACTATGTTATCATACTTTTAAGAGACACTTCAAACGTCAATTTTGAAAACATGGCTTTTTATAAAAGGACCTCTAACATTGTATCAACATATAAAACAGCACAAACAAAGTATTTACTTGAACACTACTGCCCTCAACTAAATTGTAGATCATATAAATCAAATCTGTAGTAAAGTGATTTAAACTTCAAACAGACAGAGTTGAGTTTTAGGGGAGGATTGGCATCATAATAAAAGGGGTAACAATTTTTACTTCTATAACTTGGATTACGACAAGAAAATCTGTTAGATAAAAGCATTACATCAATGTGTGTAGGAATCATAGTCAAATGACGACCAGACTATTTTTCCACAGAGCTTGTTAACAGTATCAATACCAACCGATTTGTTTTAAAATTAACATCATATTACTAGTACTAACAACAAGAGTGCACACGTTGAAATGTCTCGCCTTCTTTACTAACCATTGATATTATGTTGATAGTCCTAAATATAAAGCTTTACTACAACTATCACATACACTTAACATGACCCAAGAAAATGAGGTCAAGGTCATATAAACCAAACGAGAAATACATGTACACCTTACAATCATTCAATACACTAAATATAGTTGACCTTTTGCTTATAGTTTCTAAGAAACAGACTTAACCAAGAAAACTAAACATTGACCAATGAACCATGAAAATGAGGTCAGGGTCAGATGAATCATGCTTGACAGACATGTTTAGCTTACAATCCTTCCATACAACAAATATAGTTGACCTATTGCTTATAGTTTAAGAAAAACAGACCAAAACATAAAAACTTAACACTGAGCAATGAACGTGAAAATGAGGTCAAGGTCAAATAAAATCTGCTAGACTGACATGTACATCATAAAATATTTCGATACACCAAATATAGCTGACAAATTGCATATAGTATTAGAAAAAAAGACCAAAATTCCAAAACCTAACTTTGACCACTGAATCATGAAAATGAGGTCAAGGTAAGATGACACCTGCCAGTTGGACATGTACACCTTACAATCCTTCCATACACCAAATATACTAGACCTATTGCTTATAGTATCTGAGATATGGACTTGACCACCAAAATTAAACCTTGTTCACTGATCCATGAAATGAGGTCGAGGTCAAGTGAAAACTGTCTGACAGGCATGAAGACCTTGCAAGGTACGCACATACCAAATATAGTTATCCTATTAATCATAATAAAAGAGAAATTAACATTACAAAAAATCTTAACTTTTTTTCAAGAAGTCACTGAACCATGAATATGAGGTCAAAGACAATGGAACTGTGACAGACGGATACTTCGTAACATAAGGCATCTATATACAAAGTATGAAGCATATAGGTCTTCCACCTTCTAAAATATAAAGCTTTTAAGAAGTTAGTTAACGCCGCCGCCCGCCGCCGCCCGCCGCCGCCCGCCGCCGCCCGCCGCCGCCGGATCACTATCCCTATTTCGAGCTTTCGAGGCTCGACAAAAATCAAACGACAATACTCAGATATATTTTTCATTGTAAATATGCAAGGATAACACATAATTCGTTTCTGGACAGATGTTTTGTCACAACCTTAATATTGTTTGTCCGTTTTAAAGTGTGTATGGCAAAAATTTAGACGGTGAAAATTCTTGAACTTTTGTGTCATCCATATTTATTTGGTGTACTTTACTTTGCCAAATATAAAAGAATGGTGTTTTGAAACACCCAAGATATATGTTTATGACTTAGAAATTGTGTACTGCAATGAAATGTAAGATTAATTTCCTTCAACTGTCAAATTCAAGATCAATTTCGACCCTTTTTCGAATGCAATCGGATGTGACGTACTATGATTTTGTGGTATTACACCTGTAACGATGACTCATTACTTTCTTGGTCCCTTTATTTGGTTCTTCTTTTTTTTCAAATTTATCGAAACTAAATTTGATGAGTCTTAAAAATGTGAGTTTATTCAACTTTCTTCTTCTCTAGTAAACTAGTACTCAATATATAAGTGATGTTTTATCAAATTTTCAAATGCATTTTATCTATCTTTAAAATAAATACAAATGGTCAGGTATCATTTAATTTAAGAAAAGACAAATCGTGTTATTTCCATCGTGATAAATATCGTGAAAATCAATCTCCGAAGAAATAAAATGTTGATAAAAGCGTTTATTTTATACTTTGTAGTAAATATGTAAAGCAAAATATTGTCCTATGAAATATTGTCCCCCAAGACAATATTTCATGACCATGTATCATGAAATGTTGTACTCATCTATAAAAAAAGGTCCAGAGAAGGACAAATTTCCATTGTGAAATTTTGTCTGTATATAAACAATATTTCACTAATGAATACTATGACATTTTTTCCTGTTAAAAGAAGGTTATATTTTGCGTATATTGAGACAATATTTTATAAACAGATTGTCATGAAATTTTGTCTCATTAAGGGGAGGTTATCAATACATATCATGTTGGATTTTTGACTGATAATAACAAATAAACACAAATTAATATTCCTGTTACACTGTACTCCTGTACCTACAAAACGCCATCGCAAAAAAGATTCACCAATCTAGTATTTACGAAATATTATTAGTACATTCAATTTTGTACATAAATAAGTGATTATCAGTACATTACTTATATTTATACAGTATAATGTAGTACAATGGAACATATATGTTAGACGATTCTTTAATCTATAATTAACCATTTATAAAGTATCTATGCAAATTTGAAACTAGCTTATGTTAAAATAAATAATAGTTTGAAATATAAAATACTTACCGTAATCTACAAAAAAGTTTCAGTTATTAATAAAAAAAAAAGTGACTACTGCATGCTTGTGTACTTTTTTTAATTTTGTAATAATTTGATTAAGAAATATTTGTATGGACAGTATTTTACAGTGAAATATTGTCATGGACAGAATTTCATAATGAAATATTGTCAGGGACAGAATTTCATAATGAAATATTGGTAGGGACAGAATTTCATAGTGAAATATTGTGCAGAGGGAGGTGACAAAATTGTAATGGACCAGGACCCTATACATTAAAAAATATTGTCCTGGACAGGATTTCATTATGACAATATTTATATGAAATTTTGTTCGACGGTCAATATTTCATGGGGGACAATATTTTATGTTACAAATATATGTAACTTGTATGTGTCAACGGCAATTGTGCTGTATCAGCCATTCGTGATTATATCGATATCAGTCACGGTTGCAAAGGCTTTATCACACCTTTAATATGTATGATGTCACGTCATCGATATCAGTCACTGTTGCAATGGCTTTATCAAATCCCTAATCTGTATAACGTCCTGTCACATTCATGCTCCTGTAAAATTTTTCTAGAACCTCTTTCATTTTTATACTAACAGAAAATCACAAATCAAATGAAAATAAAATATGCCTACTAGTAAACACAAATGCTAGTCTTATTTTTAAGACATTTTTCCTAATAATGACACGTCTACGCTTTTTAATAGGATTTGACCTTAGACCAATGGGTTTAAGATCAAAAGGATTTAAGGGGAGTCGGAAAAGGTTTTAGATTTATCTCCATGTTTTGCGATTTTAACTTTTTACTTTCATTTGAGTTAGTAATTTTCTGTTAAAATACAAACAGTAATGGTTAGTTCGGTCATTATCAAAACCAGACATTGCAAATTGCCTTTTAAATGATTTAATTAACCTAACAAACGCAGAAAAATAGATTCAACCATTCAATGATAAGCCCAAAGTTTATTTCTATAAGTAAAATTAATTCGGTGTGGTATTTGGGTCTATTAATTCAAGTAAAAGTAAAATAGTATATCATATTTACAACTACTATCTTATTCATCAAGGTCATTGTGTTAGAATTTCAGAAAGATTAACTGATTGTGAGAAGGCGTTAGTCGATGATATGTATATTCTTTACTACTGCAAACATGACATAACTTAACTATTATTCGTATTAAATGACATTAACCAACTGACATTTCATTTGCTCGAGTTAAATGTGTCTGTTTAATTTCGAAAGGAACATTTGTGAATGAATTATGAGTTACGCGGTTGTTAATCATCTATTCAGTAGTATTTGAATTCCCACATAACATCCAATTACAAGTCAACTATTGTTACAATCGAGACAAATTAATGTGTGAGGTTAATTTGATCAATTTAGAATATAGTAAAGTACTCTCGACCAATGAAATTGTAGAATTGGATGCCTCTTAATTGTGAAGAAAGAATGTAAATCATGTTCTTAGTAATGGATTATCCTATTATTTGGGTCTATTTACAGTTCAAAACAAAGAGTTTCTATAAATGAGTTACAACTGCCCCGAAGCACATTTATCAGATTGAAAGGATTTATCACACAGTGATTGAAACTGACTAAAAATTGAATTGTGAAACAAACAAAAATCTCAAAATAAGTTGAAGTTTACTGGTGCAGTAAAATTGGTTTCGTGAATTTTATTATGAAAATATTAATAACTTCAAATTACTATAAAATTAAACAATACCAAAGCAATGCAAAAGAAAAAGAAAAAAAAATCTTTCAGATAAAAAATAACCTAAATCTTTAGCTTTCCAAAACTTTGATTACTTGATCAGCGGTTGGGGAGAATAGTAAAGTTATTTCCAATACATGTATTCCGATAAAAAACAGGAATTTAATTTTGAA